GCAGTGACCCGAGGTTATTATATTTTGGATAGCCCTGAATCTGCACTCACATCCTGAATATAGCACTCCAAAACAAAACACAAACAAAAACTATCTCATAGAAAAATTGGCTGGGTGTTGTGGTGGGTACCTGTAGTCTAAGGTGACCAGATGTCCCGCAGTCCCATTTTTTTTTTTTTTTTTTTTTTTTAACAATTTGTCCCATGTCCCACAGTGTTTTTAAAAAGTCCCAATTTTTGGAAAGAATGCACAACGAGCTAGGGAACAGTGGGAGAATGGGAAGGGAATATACGGTTTTCGGCTGCTGAAAAGGTTAAGGTAACTCCATTAGGGAATGAAGAGGTTAATGTAACTTCCTTTGGAAATGAAAAGGCTAATGTAAACTCCCTACTCCCCTCCTGGGAAAGGTTGCCCAGGTGGAGTCCTATCAGAAGGAGACTGCTCCCTCCCTGGCTTCTAGGCAAGGACAATTAGCTCAGACGGAGCCAAACTATCTGGAACAAACAAGTAGCCCCCTCCCCCCCCAGAAAAGGTGACCAGACGTCCCGCTTTTGGCAGGACAGTCCCGATTTTCAACAGTTTGTTCTGTGTCCTGTGGCGTTTTAAAAAAGTCCTGATTTTTGTTAAGAATGCATGACAAGCTAGGGAACTTGGGCGTACAGGAAGGGAATATACGGTTTTTGGCTGTCATGTGGCTATTTTGCTAGGATATGAGTTTTATATTATTCTTGTTAATTTTATAATGCTAAACTTTAATAACAAATAATTGTCGAGAACTGATTATTGAGAACTGCTTATCAAAGTTTGCACTGTTGTCAGCCCCCCACCCCCACCCATCAATAGTGTCCTGCTTTACCAATGTTACTGTAGTCCCAGCTACTTGGAGGCTGAGGCAAGAAGGTTGCTTGAGCCCCAGAGACTGACTGAAGTTGCTGAGAGCTATAATGATGCCATGCACTCTACTCAGGGTGACAGAGTGAGACTGTCTCAAAAAAAAAAAATAATGTAATTAAATAAAATAAAAACTCTATCTCATGTCCTCAAAAGGATATCAATCCTATGTGTTTAATAATTAACATCTGACATTCTAAAACAAGTGCCAATTTCCAAGGAGCAAATGCTACTAATTTTAGCTCAATTTTTACATATCCTTTTTTCTACATCTGAAGTGTTTATTTCCTAAAGGATATAATTTGCTCCTTTTGCTAGTTCACATATGAATTTACATTAGGAAACAACCATAGATCCTTAATTTCCTATGTCTCCTGCCTTACCTCATCTTTATTATTTACTGTATATCCTTTAAAACAACACTATGCTTTATAATTCACCAAATACTTCCCTCCTGCTGATCCGACAAACATTCATAGAGTTCCTATTATGTGGAGGTTTGATGGCTACAACTCTAGTTCTACTCTCAAGCTCTTCCTTTGGTCATTTATTTTTATAACCCTGAGAGGATTCCCATTTTTACAGATGGGTTAGTAAGTTCAGAGTTTAAGTGACTTTCTCACAAATCACTTAGCCTGTAAGGACAGAACTGGAAGCCAAGATTCCTGCCTAATACTATATGCTATGACAGCAGACTATTTGAAATTCTGCTTGACACTATTTTAATTGTTTTCACTCTTAAATTATCTTCTTTTCATGTTCTTTTCTTTTCTTTTTTTTTTTTTTTTGACACAGAGCCTCAAGCTGTCACCCTGGGTAGAGTCTGTGGCATCACAGCTCACAGCAACCTCCAACTCCTGGGCTCAAGTGATTCTCCTGCCTCTGCCTCCCAAGTAGCTGGGAC